TTACGGTGGCCAGTGGCCTGGTAGACAATACTCGCTTCACACACGGAGTGTCGAGGGTTCGATCCGCGGCAAGGGTGAAAACATTGGGAGTGATTTCTTACACCTGTTGTCCCGTTCAACTAGCAAACAAGTAGGTAGCTCGGAATTAGTCGACTGGTGTGGGTCGCATACTGGGGGACAAGAGTGAGGAACTCCCAGTGAAAATAAAATAAACAGTCTTTCGATGACGCACTGCCTTTCTTGGGTTATCCTAGGTGGTTAACCATCCAGAGTTAAAAATCTGATGAAAATTTTATCTTCAAGGGCTTCAGACATTTTTATCTTCAAGGGCTGCAGAAAACAATATGAAGTTCAACGATGAGAAATTTCAATTACTCCTATATGGTAAACATGAAGAAATTAAAACTGCATCAGAGTATAAAACAAATTCCAGCCACACAATAGGGCGAAAAACTAACGTCAAAGACCTGGGAGTGATCATGTCGGAGGATCTCACCTTCAAGGACCATAACATTGTATCAATCGCATCTACTAGAAAAATGACAGGATGGATAATGAGAACCTTCAAAACTAGGGATGCCAAGCCAATGATGAGACTCCTCAGGATGCTTGTTCTGCTAGGCTGGAATATTGCTGCACACTAACAGCACCTTTCAAAGCAGGTGAAATTGTTGACCTAGAATATGTACAAAGAACCTTCACGGCGCGCATAACAGAGATAAAACACCTCAATTACTGGGAACGCTTGAAGTTCCTGAACCTGTACTCCCTGGAATGCAGGCGGGAGAGATACATGATTATATACACCTGAAAAATCCTAGAGGGACTAATACCGAACTTGCACACGAAAATCATTCTCTCCGAAAGCAAAAGACTCAGCAGACGATGCAACATCACCCCAATGAAAAGCAGGGGTGTCACTAGCACGCTAAAAGACAACACAATAAGTGTCAGGGGCCCAAGACTGTTCTACTGCCTCCCAGCATACATAAGGGGGATTACCAATAGACCCTGGCTGTCTTCAAGCAGGCACTGGACAAGCACCTAAAGTCGGTACCTGACCAGCCGGGCTGTGGCTCGTACGTTGGATTGCGTGCAGCCAGCAGTAACAGCCTGGTTGATAAGGCCCTGATCTACCATGAGGCCTTCTCACAGACCGGACCGCGGGGGCGTTGACCCCCGGAACTCTCTCCAGGTAAACTTCAGGTAATGACCCTAGTGAAGTCGATAGGATTTCAACCGCATCAGACAATTCCATTAATACCGTTTTACATCGGACCTTCATTTCCAAGAGTGATTTATAAGAATTATTAACCCCGGATGACTGATAACCCAGATTAATTCGAGAAAACCAAACAGGGTGGCTTATTTCAATGGAGCCTTTAGCTATATCACAGAGTAGTCAGGAAGTGGAATAGTTTGGGTAGCTATGTAGTGGAGGCAGGATCCATTCATAGCTTTAAGCAGAGGTATGATAAAGCTCATGGTGCAGGGCGAGTGACCCAGAAGCAGCCAGTGATGAGGCGGGGCCAGGAGCTATGACTCGACCCCTGCAACCACAACTAGGTGAGTACAACCATTTTTTTAGTTCTTCACTAGGATGCGACCCACAACAGTTCACTAATACATATCTCTTCACTGGAAAGTGAAGACAGGAACATGGAGTCAGAAATAGGAACATGGAGACTAAGTCAGTTTATTCAGGTATACACAAATACATTTACATAGATTATCATACATAGCAGCATATGTGTAGAGAACCCAGGATAACCCCAAAAAAGTCAGAGTGACTTATTTCCATTTGGGACAGGAACATGGGGGCAGGAACATAGGAAACAGGAACATAGACCAACAGTTCGTCAGGATATTTCAACCTCCAGTTGTTGATGAGGACATTAGGAGTATAAATATATGCAACGGGTAATATATAGGCCAGAGGGTGTTGGAAAAACTAACAGGTGTTGGACAAACAGGTGTAGGCGGGTGTCTGGCCTCGCTTGCAATAACTGAGACAAAGGTACGACTTGTGTAAAGCATTATCCTCCCCCACCCAGACCCGTCCACGCCCTGCATCCTGTCTGCTCGTGCCTCTGTCAGGGACCTGAGGTAACCTCTGCTACAAGACCTCTGGAACCCTCTGTAAAAAGGACTTCCTGAAATCTCTCTTACTCAACTTCTGGAAACCTCTTAGGGAACCTTAGAAAACCTGCGTTACAGGACTTCTGGTAAACTCTGTTAAGGGTTCCTTCGCAATCTCTGTTAAGGAACATCTGAAAACCTCTATTACAGGACCTCTAAAAAACCTCTATTAGGGGACCTCTGGAAACCTCTGTTATGGGAATACTGGAAACCCCTGTTAGGGGACCTATGGAAACCTCTGTTAGGAGCCGTTGAAAACCTGCTAAAGGACCTTTAGAAAGATCTGCTATATGAGACTTCAGGAAGCCTCTCTTAATGGAAGATCGGAAACATCTGTTATGGAACCTCTGGAAACCTCTGTAAGGGGGTTTCCTGAAAAACCTGTTATGTGACCTCAGGAAACGACTGTTACATTAACTCTGCCAACCTCTGTTAGGGGACCTCTGGAAATCTGATAGGAGACCTCTGGAAACCTCTGATAGGGGACCTCTGAAAAACTCTGCCATAGGAAGTCTGGAAACCTCTGTTACAGGACCTCTTGAAACCTCTGTTACAGAAACCTTTGTTAGGAGATCCCTGGAAACCTCTGTTTTAGGACCTATGGAAACCTCTCCTTTAAAACAATAAAAGGAAGCCTCCCGACGACACCTGTTTAATAAACCCCAGTCAACTGGACTAATAATGAAATAAATGGCTTCGACATTTGTAGGAAGTATGTACTCTAGGAAGCATGTACTCTAGGAAGCATGTACTCTGGGAAGCAACTACTCTAGGAAGCAAATATTCTGGGAAGTATGTATTCTAGGAGTTATGCACTCTGGGAAGTATGTACTCTGGGAGTTATGTACTTTGGGAAGCATGTACTCTGGAGTGTGGATGTTCGCATAGTAGTTGAAGTGTTAAGTTTCAAACCTATCGACTATACCTATCTGAACTTAACGAAAAAAATATGCTTATTATTAAATTATTGTAAACGTATCTAAAATATATTTAGTTGGATTAGGCTAAATTAAATTCCGCTTGTTATAATAAGGTTAGGTAAGTTTCCTAAGGTTCTTTTGGTACAAAATTATTAATTTTTACATTAGCATAAATGAAAAAAATATATCTTTAAAGGTATAAGAGAGAATTTTAGAAAGGACTCAATTTTGAATGAGTTCTTGGTAACTGACAAGTTTTACCAGCACTGAGTCGCTGTTCTAGGGACTCAGTGCGGCTGTTCAGAGGGGTAATGCCTGCTGTATTTTGGGCACACGCCCCAGCTCTGAAGAGCTGGATGAGATTTTCGCATTATAATCAGTGTCAAACACGTAACGATATGTACTAGACATGTATCTCTCAGATCTCATGTACTGTATATGTCATCTTTATATCAACAATGTATCTCTTAAACCTTTTGTACCATATTATGTAATAAAATATGCCTATTGGTATAAAAGAATGAAAAGTTGGGGTGGTAGGGGAAGTGGAATATTCAAACGGCTTCAGGAAGAAATCCAAATATTCTTCCTTGAAGCCTTTTTATCCACTTCTCCGAGGCTGTGGGTCCCACAAGTTACACCAGAGGTGGACCCCATTTATATATATATATATATATTATATATATATATATATATATATATATATATATATATATATATATATATATATATATATATATATAATATATATATAATATCGGTATGTGACGTCCCTAGTGTTTGGGTGACGTCTCTGGTGTTTGTGTGATGTCACTGGTGTTTGTGTCGTCACCGCTACCGGAAGTCCCCTGGCGGGGAGGGATTTAAATCAGTTCCGGTTGTGGAGGCTGCAGTTTCCTGGTGTTGTCATACAAGGTCGTCACAACAACAACACTGATAATACCCAGACTCCAACAACTTACAAGTCACCTCAAATTTACAGAGGAATTATTTTTCCTTCTTTCGTGTTCTTTTTTTTCTTCTTCTTCATGAAAATTGTTAATAAGGTGTTGCTAGGTACAAATAGGTTCATAATAACTAAAAATTTTGCATCTGGCCTTTTCAACTAAGTGGGCACGAGTAAGTATTAATTGAAGCCTCTTACATAATTCTAAACTTTTTTTTTTATTTTTTGCAGTGGTTTTGTGTAGGAAATTATGTCGAATTTAACCCAGGGTAATGAAATGCAGTCAAGATATTGTGTTTATTCTCAATAGGATCCTTAGTAATACACTGGAGTGTTATATCTTAGAACCACGAACCAAGTTGAAGCGTGTGGAGTGGCTGTCCAGTGGCTGTCCAGTGGCTGTCCAGTGGCTGTCCAGTGGCTGTCCAGTGACTGTCCAGTGGCTGTCCAGTGGCTGTGCAGTGACTGTGCAGTGACTGTCCAGTGGCTGTCCAGTGGCTGTCCAGTGGCTGTCCAGTGGCTGTCCAGTGGCTGTCCAGTGGCTGTCCAGTGGCTGTCCAGTGGCTGTCCAGTGGCTGTCCAGTGGCTGTCCAGTGACTGTCCAGTGGCTGTCCAGTGGCTGTGCAGTGACTGTGCAGTGACTGTCCAGTGACTGCCCAGTGACTGTCCAGTGGCTGTCCAGTGACTGTCCAGTGACTGTCCAGTGGCCGTCCAATGACTGTCCAGTGACTGTCCAGTGACTGTCCAGTGGCTGTCCAGTGACTGTCCAGTGGCTGTGCAGCGACTGTCCAGTGGCTGTCCAGTGTCTGTCCAGTGGCTGTCCAGTGACTGTCCAGTAGCTGTCCAGTAACTGTCCAGTGGCTGTGCAGTGACTGTCCAGTGAGTGTCCACTGATTGCCTAGTGGCCGACCAGTGACCATTCTGCATGAGGAAAAAGAAATCATTTAAAAAGACAATCATGAATTATGGTGTACTGATGATTGTTTGTGTTTCAGATGTCCGGTATGCCAGGAGCTGCTCCCTCGGTCATCCTGCCCCGACCCGACCTTACCCTGCACCACGCTCCGCCCTCGCCCCACTGCCGAGACCCGATTCCAGTCCGGCACCGGGTTTCGGCCTCGGCCCGGTACAGAAACCGACATTCCACCCTGCACCACGAACTCTCTTTAACACCCGCGCCCGTCTACACCCGCTCGTCGCTCAAGTCTGTTCCCGAGGAGCACCTGAGTGCTCAGTATCGCTGGAGTGCACCCTGCCAGACGTCCTTCACTCTACCTGATCACCAAGTGTCGTGTCTCACCGAGGAGACACCTCGATCTGCTACGATGTCCTCGAAACGACACAGTTCCCTTCGCTCTCGAACGTCGTCTTCGCTACGGAGCTCCATACGTCGAGTGGGACCGCTGTACCGGACGGCCAGCAGCCACGTGGGGACTGCGCAGGTATCTGCGCGGCGGTGGGCGGCAGCCCTAAGAAAGCGGATGATAGGGGTGGGCGGAGTCCCTCTACTGACACCCGCCCGCCCTCGCCGCCGACCTGTGGTAGTAAGAACACGCGGGCGGCCGCCCCTCAAGCCAGCCAGGAATAGCCCCCGGGTTCGGGCGGCCCGCAGGACGGCGTTTGCAGCCCACATGGTACAGTGGGAAGCAGCCAGTGGGCTAGCGGCCTTGTTAGAGTGCGGAGCGTCGGCGGGTAGTGCGTTGGTTGCGGGCGTGGTGCGGGCGTGTGCTGCGGCGGTCGCCATGGCTGACGACAGGCTGCAGCAGCTGCGTCGCTCCATCAGCTCCTGGAGTCTCTCTACCTTCAAAAAACCCAAGATCTCCATCCCTAAGCTCAAGACGCCCAAATTCAAAGTCTTCGGTGGCCGCAAAAAAAACAGGTGAGTTGCCTCGGGATGTCCTGTGCCAGTGGTCAGCCGTGGCCAGATGTAAGCAAGAACACAGATAAAGACCAAGCTTCAGCTGGGACAACGTTGCACTCTACGTAGAGCTTTATCATGTCACTGACTTAATGAAACTCTACGCAGAGTGACGTGGGTATGCTTTTACATCTAGGGGTGGGGGGGGGGCAGGTGTTGATTACTGTTGCTGCGTTGTGTCCCTCGTGAACATCTGTGTTCATTACGAGACACCGTAAATTACCAGCCCTTGATTTTCAGGATTGCTAGTCCGAAGACAGTGTTCCTCGTTGTCTTCAGCAACATTGAGAAGAGAGTCCCGCGTAGTGCAGTGCGGACGCTTCTTTGCTTTCACACTCACTAGTTTTGTTATTGCGGAAGGAAACAGACCCGTGCCATGAGCCTCTTCTTCTGTTTCTTGACGAGTCAAACAACAACAGAGCTGAAAAATGGTCTGGTGATGTGGAAAAAGATCTAATGTACAGTTCAGGACATTCATTAGAGGAAACGTTTCACCTACGTTATTTATTTCAATCAAAATGCTGCTACACTCTATAAAAAAAAGGCATCTTAGCACCTACACACTTCACTAACAGTCCTAAACTTATGATTAAAATACTCAAGTGTCAAAAGTTTGAAGTCCACCGGAAGAGGCTTTTCTCAAGTTATAACTCAGAAACTTCAAATGTCTCATCTGTCTTCTTATTCGTCCCTTGTCTCTCCCTCTGCCACCATTTATTCTCCCTGCCTCCCTCCACATCTCTCACCTACCCTCTCATTAAGATAAGATAAGAAAGATAAGATAAGGTAAGATTTCGTTCGGATTTTTAACCCCGGAGGGTTAGCCACCCAGGATAACCCAAGAAAGTCAGTGCGTCATCGAGGACTGTCTAACTTATTTTCATTGGGGTCCTTAATCTTGTCCCCCAGGATGCGACCCACACCATCGACTAACACCCAGGTACCTATTTGCTGCTAGGTGAACAGGACAACAGGTGTAAGGAAACTGTCGAAATGTTTCCACCCGCCGGGAATCGAACCCTAGCCACGAGGCCACCAGGCCACCACCCTTCTCCGAAACAGTCTCCATGAATCTGACCAGAGGGACCTTGCACATGAAATTAGTTTAATGAACTTTCCTGTCATAGTACACCAGCGTTAAAAGTTTGAAACTGATCGGACGAAGCGTTCACAAGTTATCAACGAGAACCGTGAAGGAGAAAGAGAAAAAGTTAGTCAGTCGCTGAAAGGTACTCCTTCAGGAATACTTAACAATAACCAAGTATGCTTCGGGGCTTTGCGTTATCCGGGAAAGGTATCCCCGGATCCACAAACCCCAGCCCCCTCTACCTCAGGGCTGGAATGTTTTTAATTTATAAATGAAAACTTTGGAGGAAGAAAATGTCAAGCAACTATTAACAGGTTCCCCTGATGGATACACCATATTATTATTAATCATGGAGATAGAGCCACATCGTTACTCTAAAACATCTCTCACGGGAGATTTTTCTGATTTCATGGTCTGTCTCAGACGGACAATGTTATTGTTATATTCGGGAGGAAATAAGGTTTGACCTAGGAAAGGGAAGGGGGAGTTTCAGTTCCTTGGATCAAGAGCCCTTTCACCGACGTTAAAGGAATCCCCTTTCAAAGAGGTGTCTTACCAGTTGAGTTTGTGCCTCGGCGGAATAAGAGCATGTTTTGTTTTTGTCACTTCAGTGTTGAGGCTGTACTCACCTAGTTGTGGTTGCAGGGGTCGATTCACAGCTCCTGGCCCCGCCTCTTCACTGGTCGCTACTAGGTCGCTCTTCCTGCTTCATGAGCTTTATCATACCTCTTCTTAAAGGTATGTATGGATCCTGCCTCCACTTCCTGACAACTCTGTAACTGAAGAAATACTTCCTAACATCCCTGCGATTAATCTGAGTCTTCAACTTCCAATTGTGACTCCTTGTTACTGTGTCCCATCTCTGGAACATCCTGTCCCTGTCCACCTTGTCAATTCCTCTCAGTATTTTATAAGTCGTTATCATATATCCTCTATTTCTCCTGTCCTCCAGTATCGTCAGGTATGTACTCACCTATTTCACCTATTTGTACTCATCTATTTGTGGTTTCAGGGGTCGATACATAGCTCCTGGCCCCGCCTGTTCACTGATCGCTACTAGGTGTGTGTGTGGTGTGTGTGTTGTGTGTGTATTTACGAGGTGGCTTAATAAGACACATGATCAACGCTTGAATATCTTTATTGGGGAGACGTTTCGCCAATCAGTATTTTATCAACCTAATTTAGAGAATGATACTGGAGAAGCGGAAGACACAAAATCTTAGGCGGTTGTACGTGTTTGTATGTCGCTTCCTTTCTCCAGAATTTTCTATCTCTCAGTTTTTTCTCCGATATAATACAGGTTAATGTTTTTACTTCCATCCCTCCCTTACCCTTCCCTTCCTTATTTCTTCAATTCCTTGTCCTCCTATACTCATAACAACGACCAGGACAGAGAGTAACACCTCGTTACAACGTCTTTACAGCTCTTCGTTACAACTCAGCGCTCTAGCTCGCTAATAACCCACTGAACTGTTGTTGTTGTTGAACCGGCCGAGGAGGTTTGGCTCTAGTTCCCGTAGCTCTAATACTTTGGCACCCTGGCATGGCCTGAGTGCCAAGCTGGCCCTGGTGGCATACTAGCTTCACTTAGCGGCCCTGTGGCCTATATGATCGAGACCGGCAAGTAAATCATGTTAACAGTGTCTGGGGCAACAGTGCCAGCAGTGATGGTGTTGTGTAATGCATTTACACGATTCTAATATTATTGCCTGGGTTTCAGGGTGCCTACACCTTAGCACTCACCCGTGGGTATAAGATACAAGTGTATGACATGATGGGTGCCCTGCCCCCATGGCTGCTCATGACTCTGCACGATAATGTGCTCTTACGTTTGGTATCGGAACTTCAAATGCAGTTTTACTGCTGCAGCCAGAAGGTGCTTGCTATTTTTGAACGCCCACTGCTTCCATATTAAAAACCTCGTGTATATATATATATATATATATATATATATATATATATATATATATACATACATATATATATATATATATATATTATATATATATATATATATTATATATATAAATATATATATATATATATTTATTATTTTTTTTTTTATTATCACACTGGCCGATTCCCACCAAGGCAGAGTGGCCCGAAAAAGAAAAAACTTTCACCATCATTCACTCCATCACTGTCTTGCCAGAAGGGTGCTTTACACTACAGTTTTTAAACTGCAACATTAACACCCCTCCTTCAGAGTGCAGGCACTGTACTTCCCATCTCCAGGACTCAAGTCCGGCCTGCCGGTTTCCTGAATCCCTTCATAAATGTTACTTTGCTCACACTCCAACAGCACGTCAAGTATTAAAAACCATTTGTCTTCATTCACTCCTATCAAACACGCTCACGCATGCCTGCTGGAAGTCCAAGCCCCTCGCACACAAAAACCTCCTTTACCCCCTCCTTCCAACCTTTCCTAGGCCGACCCTACCCCGCCTTCCTTCCACTACAGACTGATACACTCTTGAAGTCATTCTGTTTCGCTCCATTCTCTCTACATGTCCGAACCACCTCAACAACCCTTCCTCAGCCCTGTGGACAACAGTTTTGGTAATCCCGCACCTCCTCCTAACTTCCAAACTACGAATTCTCTGCATTATATTCACACCACACATTGCCCTCAGACATGACATCTCCACTGCCTCCAGCCTTCTCCTCGTTGCAACATTCATCACCCATGCTTCACACCCATATAAGAGCGTTGGTAAAACTATACTCTCATACATTCCCCTCTTTGCCTCCAAGGACAAAGTTCTTTGTCTCCACAGACTCCTAAGTGCACCACTCACTCTTTTTCCCTCATCAATTCTATGATTCACCTCATCTTTCATAGACCCATCTGCTGACACGTCCACTCCCAAATATCTGAATACGTTCACCTCCTCCATACTCTCTCCCTCCAATCTGATATTCAATCTTTCATCACCTAATCTTTTTGTTATCCTCATAACCTTACTCTTTCCTGTATTCACCTTTAATTTTCTTCTTTTGCACACCCTACCAAATTCATCCACCAATCTCTGCAACTTCTCTTCAGAATCTCCCAAGAGCACAGTGTCATCAGCATAGAGCAGCTGTGACAACTCCCATTTTGTGTGTGATTCTTTATCTTTTAACTCCACGCCTCTTGCCAAGACCCTCGCATTTACTTCTCTTACAACCCCATCTATAAATATATTAAACAACCACGGTGACATCACACATCCTTGTCTAAGGCCTACTTTTACTGGGAAAAAATTTCCCTCTTTCCTACATACTCTAACTTGAGCCTCACTATCCTCGTAAAAACTCTTCACTGCTTTCAGTAACCTACCTCCTACACCATACACTTGCAACATCTGCCACATTGCCCCCTATCCACCCTGTCATACGCCTTTTCCAAATCCATAAATGCCACAAAGACCTCTTTAGCCTTATCTAAATACTGTTCACTTATATGTTTCACTGTAAACACCTGGTCCACACACCCCCTACCTTTCCTAAAGCCTCCTTGTTCATCTGCTATCCTATTCTCCGTCTTACTCTTAATTCTTTCAATTATAACTCTACCATATACTTTATATATATATATATATATATATATATATATATATATATATATATATATATTATATATATATATATATATATATATATATATATATATATATATATATAAGGAATTCGCGAGAGCAGGCGAAATATACACAAACACTGATCTCTGGCTGAAGGAGACTCGAACCTACGAACCTTAGGACAAGGTACCAGTGCTTTACCAATCTACCCACACTGGACAATACCTTGGCGTGTAGCTTGCACTACACGTTTGATCCAAGGCAGCCAGCTTTCAGGGAGAAGGCACTGCGTACCTTGTCCTAAGGTTCGT